AAGTCACGCGCGCCAAGCCAGCAACCCAAATCAGCACATCATCCGGCTGAAATTGATTTGCAATAACAGTAAAGTTTAGTCGCGCCCGAGGGAGAGCTTAGTAGTAAGTAGTAGCTCCCCGTTCTGCTGAGACGAGCGAAATCGTCGTTGTGTTTCTCTGAGATGTATGTGTGTGAGAGAGAAAGAGCAAGTGCCTGCAGTGACGCCAGAACGCGTTACTCACGATCCGCCCGTATCTAACAATATATTCTGGCCACGGACGCATTATGGGGCGTGTGTGCTGCAGGTTTGATCCCTGTGCGGTATAAAGTCACGTGGCTTTCCTACCAGGAAGTAGCCGGACCAGAATGTGATCCGAGTGTGAGCGCGGTGCACAGTGCACAGGGTCCGCACCACATACCGCAGTATGCAGCCTACCGGGTTTGAGCGGGCCTGCGGTATTAGCTAGCTTCGCTGGCACCGGCCAGCCCAGCCCAACACACAACTTTATGACCCGGTCTGGCTGAGTGCATGTGGCTCTGCCCCCCTCCCCCTCCCCTCACGCAGCTCTGTGCTCGGCCCGGCGTCGGCCCTAGTGTCCTGGACGTCTGGCTGTCTCCTCCCCCTCATCATCCTCCTCCCCCAACCCTCGGGGTGAGAGGGGCTGCCTCGGCCGGAGTCACGTCAACGGCGGCGTTGTCGCTAATGTGATTGAAAAGAAAAAAGAAACAGAGAAAAAAATAGCCTCCTGAACTCTTTTTGTGTACTTACAAGGGGGCTGACGATATCTTGTCGATGCCCACAACGCGCTGGTGTGGCGTGAAGAGTTATTTCAAATTTTACCCAACTTATTTCATTTTCCCACCAACCTCTGCCCTTTATTAACGATTTTGTCCTTGTACACAGAGCTCGCGCGCCCGCCGACGTAAATTAGCAAAGGGGGGAAAACTTCATCTAGGAGCAAAAGAGAGGGAGAAAAAAAGACACTTAAAAAAAGGGAATATAAAAGGCACTGTGCGCAAGTATCAAGGCAAATGAGACGGGGGAGGCGGAGAGGGGCGGGGGCCAGACAAGCGGACGACGGCGACGGTTAGAATCAAGTAGCCATTTTCTAGCTGCGACGTCCATTAGGCACCATTACGGGAATTTATCGGGGAATGGAGAGAGTTATTAGGGCCCCGGGAAACAGAGAAAGAGCGTAAAATCTGTGCGCGGCATTCGTAATCAGCTGGGGAGCGTTTTCTCCTGCTCGGATCCATTGCCGCGAAGGGAGCGGTGGCAGGCGGCGGCCAAGGCGGAGGTGAGGCGGCCGGGCGCGGCGCGATAGCGGCGCGAGAGCGGCCCGGCAGACTCGTCGGTTACAGCTCCCGATATCGTTACACTGCGCCGCCCATGGCGCAGCCCATGGCGCCCGCCTCAGCCCCGGCTGAGCTGAGGTGCTGTGCTGGAGGGGGTTATGGCGCCCGTCCTATGGATGAAAAGGGAACACGGTTAGAAATTGCTGCCGGGCGAAAGGAAGGGAAGGCGACGAGCGTCCGCCTGCTATGGTTTCAGATCCGACCGGCTTAATAAGACCCCCTCCGGTCATTGGTTCATGTTTTATTTTCCTCCCGCATCTTCTTTAAAATGTCGCATTACAGAACAATGAACAATTGAAGAATTCGATTACAGCCCGTATCCTCAAAAATGATACTTTTTCACATCAAGCGCAAAACTGCGAAACCTCACCCAAATTTTCCTTTTTCTGCGCGCGCCTCGACTCTAGGCTTTGTCGAACCTTGGCACGGCTTACGCGGCCCGAGACCATCAGAGCGCGAATGTGTGCGTGCGTGTGCGCGTGCGCGGGTGTGCGTAGGCTAATGTAGCCCCCCGCCGCGCGCCCTCGTCTCGCTAAGTCTCCTCAGTGTCACGCAAGTTATGGACGAGCGCCGCCCCCCACCCCTCTTCCCCCCTTGCACCTCTCACCCGCGCCCGCGCCGATGAAGATAAAGTGCTGATCTTCGCGCCACGAGCCCCGCCCTGTCCGTCGGCTCTTCTCCTCAAGAGCGTTGTTCGGGACGCTTCCGGCTCGGCTCCGCCTTAGAGCGGTACCGGGGGCATACGTTGCAGTGTAACCCCCCCACAATGCTGGGAGGAGGGGCTCGCAGGGTAATGGATAGTTTCGTACCGACGGGCCAGTTCCTTTTCTCACAAGCGTTGTGTCCTCCGCTGAATCCCACGGGCCGCCAGGCCTGGGCTTTTTATTTAGAGTTCAGATTTTAGTCGCACTGTACCGCTTCCAAAAACACAGGAATGTCGACGAATGGTTTCGCTCTAAAGTGAATATGACACTTTGTTGGGAGACGACAGCGTAAGAGATCAGACGAGACAAGGCGCGGCTCTTTTCTTTAACCCAAACTTCATTTTAAAGTTGACTATGCTGGTGTGTTTCAGTTCGCCATATATATATTTGTGCTCAAACACCAGAAAACACACAACACAAACAGTGGCAGACAACGCGGTCAAGAAATACGAGACAACTGTCGTCTGGTTCCCCTCCTCCTCCTCCAACTTGCCTCGGCGGCAGCAGCCTGCTCCTGTGTTCGGCCCCCTGACCCACTGCGGGCGCACGCACGTAGCGTTCGCACACATTCACGCACGCGCGCAGGGGGAGGGCCGAGGGGAGCAGACAAGGCTAACGGAAGGCTCTCTCCACCACAACGAGGCGATGAGCCTCTCCGGAAAATCGAGCTATCTCTTACCGCGAAGCTGACGCGGAACGCATAGATGCATGAGTGTAAGATGTTTTTCGCGGATTATGGACTCACTCCACTCAGCCAACTATGTCTTGTGACTTTGTCATTTTAAGGTAACGTTGAGTTGGTGTATTGCAAAGGACAGGGTACACGACCCGGCCCGGAGTGGTGGGTCATTCCCGGTGGTGGGCGGGGTGTGCTGGGCCTGGCGCCCCGTGCCTCATGGCCGCCCAGAAGCTGCCCATCAATATTGCACACATGGCCCAAGTTTAGCGACTGAGGCTCGCTGGTGCCAACTTGCGTAATATGGGGCCGCAAACATCATCAGCTGCTGGCCTGGACGCGCCCGGGCTTGAGTAAGGCGGGTGTGGCGTTGGCGAGGGGAGGGTGGGGAGCTAGTGACGCTCGCAGCGATACAGGATTATAAAGCAGCGTGCGACTGGCTGGCTGAATTCAGAGTCAGTGACCGCTGCGAAAACCGCAACCGTTGACTGCCAGCAAAAGAAGGGTTGCTCATTCATTTAAAATCGAAAATATATACATCTGAATGTTGGGAAGTTAAATTGTTTTTCTCGTGAAGAGCATCCACACAGAGGAACTACACTGTTAATCGTGGGTGTACAGTCATTGTACGCCAAAGGCGTGTAGCACCCAAAACTGTACGCCTTTTGGCATGTAATGACTACACGCCTTTGGCGTACAGTGACAGCACATCTTTGTCAGTGCAAATGCTATAGGCAAAACCCGTGCGTTAGTGCGGGCCAATGGCTGAGGATGCACAGAAACTAAACGCCCTACTCCAGCTTCCGAAGCAGAGTGGGAGTGCCGAAGGCGCTTTGGCTTTACGCACCACCAGCAAACGCATGGGCATTTCCACTAAGAAAGATGTGCTGTCACTGCACGCCAAAGGCGTGCAGTCATTACATGCCAAAAGGCGTACAGTTTTGGGTGCTACACGCCTTTGGCGTACAATGACTGTACACCCCCAATTAACAGTGTAGGCCATGGACGCGGCTAGACGGGCGAGGGAGGCGGCCCTGCTGCCTCGCTTTCATTAAGAGCGCTGATGCGCTGTTCGCCGCTCCTTTTTCAATCCGGCGGCTGGCAGCGGCACGTCCGAGCGGCGTCAGTCACCGCCCGCCCACTCCCGGCCATGCCCAGCGCTCCGGCGGCGCTGACGCGAAACCCTTTAATCGGAGGATCTTATTTCGCACAGGGCGTCACAAAAATCCGTGTGAGGCGACGACAGGGCGTAGTAGAGGCAGGGTCTGTTGCTGCTCAGGAGAGGGTCCCCCGGGCGCTGCAAACCGGAACGCCCCAATCAACACCCTACGGTGGGGCGGGCGGGGCGGGGTGAGGCGGGCAGCTATAGGCGCAACGCTGTGGAGATAAACGACTGGGCTGCCTGAGATCAGAAACTTGCTAAGTCCGCCTCCTGCTGCGGACTGGCCCTGGCTACGGGCCGTCGGACGGGCGAGAGCCTATCTACCCATCCATCTTTGTCAAAAGTAAAGGCCCGGCGCTGCGAGGCAAATCGCAAAAGAAAAACTCATGATAGAATGGGGACGATCGAGTTCCATCTGTTCTTTGTGGCTGGCTCTCCGCCTGGGCGCTCGTGATGTAGATGTGGTGGGCATGTTTGCCACGATGCTGGCCGTCACAGAGCCCCCCCTCCTCCCTCCGGCCGCTCCCGAGGGAGCGCTCGCCGCGCTAAGGTTCGCCAGAGTACCTCGCATCCTTGTGCGATAGAGGCATGAATTATTAGCCTTGTCGCAAAGTCCCAGACCTGCCGCACTAGATTATGGCATAGATTCGACCAAAGCCAACCGGGGCCTTCCCCACCTAATTTTGCCTTCCCTCGCCCTTACCTGAGTCATGGCCGGGAGACCGGTAAGGCTTTGTGTTTCGGCGGGTAAGTGAAGAAATAAACCGACTACCGGGTCTTCGCGATACAAAAACGAAGTATTATCCGCTCGATAGAGTGGGAAGTGTTGAGGTCGACTGGCAACGACCAAGAAGGAGAAGGAGAGCGCAAAGGGCCTCCGGCCGTCCGCTCCAGTCACCCCGCTGATCAGAGCAAAGAGTTATGCCCCCGGGAGCGGCCCCTCTCTCCCGGCGCGGCCTCAAAGCCTCGCTCCGTCGCCTTGTCGGTCCTCTTTGCTGCCTTTGGCCCAAACTTATCCATTTCCTCGCATTTCCCCCACTTACAACGATAGCGCCTGCCCTGTTCCGGTCGCCACCCGACACCCCGCGTCTCCTGACCACGACGGCCTCCTCTGGTTGCAGAGCTGCCGCGGAGCCCGCCCAAGCTGTGGGTGCACCAGGACCGCTACGAGCTCGGCGACCAGCTGCTCGCCAACTGCTCGGCGCCGCCCGCCGTCCCGCCGGCGCAGCTCAGCTTCCAGATCAACAACGTGACGGTGAGTGATAAAAGTAGTGAGAGGCTCTTAAGAATTCGCGTTGTTCCTAGCATATCGGCGTGAACGATATGCCTGCCATGGAAAGGCCTGTGAGAGAAGCGGTTGACGGATCGTATTTATTTATATATATTTGTGCAAAAAAAAAACAACAAAAAAACGTCGAACGCCACCGGCAGCAGCCTTTCCGGAAACTAATGGCATTTGTGACCTAGATACACACCTGCTGCCGCCGGGCCCATGCGTGGATGACCCACAAGCGTCGCCCGTTTTGCGACCATTACTCAATATGGAGTTTAGTCGCTCCCCGCTCGTGTGTCTGGAGTCCAAGCCTGCCAATAATTATTTTCAAATCACCGCTCCCGTCCCTCTCTCTTTCCATCCCTGTCCTCGGCCTGATGACTCTGTATCGCGCAACAGCTGATTGTCGTCCCGTCCGACAGGACGCTGTTGTTGGCTGCTGGGCGCGCGCAGTCCTGCTTTTTTCCCCGCCTCCGCCTTTGTAAGAAAGTGGCGCGCTTTCCTATCGGCAGAGGCGCTCAGTGTTCTCGTCCAGTCAGTAGCCGTCTTGCTCGCTTTCTCTCTCCTCCTCCTCCCTGGCCCGTTTACCGCCCGTTCTCCCTCGCCCCTTCATTCTTCATTTGATAAATGGCCCCTAATCGGTGGAGCAGGCGGCCCGGGAGACTTGCACCGCATGCCTCGGTGTACGCGTTGCGATCCGGCGTGAAATTTGGTGCCATAGCTCAACCCCCGTTAAAAGCGCTCCTAGTATTTGTACAAAATATATAGCTATATTACATATAGAATTTCCGCGTGAAATTGTTTGCGACTCTTTTGTTGTACGAAAGGCTACCCCCTGCTTTAAGCTAGACCGGCGCACTCTATTAAATTGTTTCGGACAGACTAGATCCCGTCCGTTAAAACATTTCCAACAAAAGGCCGCGCAAGTGCCCGCCCTCCCGGTCCCCATAATCTCACGCCTTAAACCTCCCCCCACTCCGCTTCCTCCCGAACACGCCCCGTCGCTCCCCCTCTGCTGTCGGGAGTCGTCCCGCCCGGCCGGGGCCCCCTGCAAAAGCGGTGTGGTGGCCTATTAGCCCCACTTTTACTTTCCGCGCATTTACAATGAAGTGGCTAGATGCGTCCCGCCTTTGTGTTTGGCTTAGTTTGCATCCCCGCCCGCGCCGCAGGCCGTGCCTCTCATTTCCGCTCAGAGCTACGCTGGATAGGCCTTGATTGTAGAGACACGAAAGCTAAACATTCCTTATCTACAATTGCCACGCGTGGATGTGGGATACAATTTCAACCCGCGCGGCTGTGGTCGCGGTGCTACTTTGTGCCTCTCGCAGAGGCCGCGTTGTTTCACGAGCGTGGAACGAACGACCCCAATTCGAACGGCCGGGGAGTAGTTCTTCTCGTCCTGCTTGACGTTGAACGCAGTGCAGCGGGCGCGCTGCTATGTGCAGCAGGTCTTGCTCGGCCGGCCAGACAAAGCCGAGGTGAGGAGAGGGTTGTTTTACAGCCGACGTAAAGCCGGGGCCGAGGCCGGGGCTACCTCTGCTCGTCACTATAACTGTGAGTGCGGCCCGTGGGCGACCTGATGGCCTAGGGGCGCATAGCGTGCTGCAGTGCTGTACCAGGATATAGTGGAGCGCACAGACTTCACCCAAAGTTATTCCGCCTATTTCTTAACGGCCCATCTTTGTTCCTCGTTTCGCGAACGGGCGGGACGTTTGTATAGTCCACCTTTAGTTAAAAGCCCGTGTGTGTGTCTTTATGCGTGTTGCAGATGCCGACGGCCATGGACACCGCGTACCACTTCACGGCCGACAGGGAAATGTGGAGCGCGCTGAGCCTCAGTATGCGTCTGGACCACCGTCACTTCCAGAACGGCCGACTCACGCTCCAGTGCACGGCCAAGCTCCCGGCCGGCTTTGCCGTCAAGTCGGAGCCCCAAGAGCTAGGCGTCCGGCCGTCTGAGCCCGTGCCTGAAAGAGGTGAGCTGCTGCCTCTGTAGTATTGTTGCACGGAGCGTGAAATATGGCCGCCGTATGACGCGTTTTACCATCTCTGCTCGATCCGGCGAACATATTGCAGACAGGAAGCATATCAGTATTAGGGTCTTTATGCATGCGTTTGGCCGATAGCCAAAGAGCTTTACCAGTTGAATTTGTTGCAGTGACGTCTTCGTCGGGCTGGCGGGCGCGTGCGCTCCTGCTCCTTGTCATTCTGGCGCCGTGCATACGGCGGTAGTTCAGCCCCGGGGCTGTCCGAACAAGGCTGTGTAAACGACATCTACCTCTGCTGGCTCCAAGTCCCTCCGAGGGCCTTAGGACCCACACTTGTGCAGTGAAGAAGCGTCGGGCCAGTGCGTTTGATGAATAAAGACTTCTCGTCAAGCAAGGCGAGGACCCCGCGCTTGTGCTACCCTATATGTACTGACCTATGAAGGAATGTTGCTGTTTAAAAGGGGAGAAAGGACTCTGTTGCCAGTAGACTCTTTTGTTTATGTCGAAGTATTGATGTTCTGTATGAATACCGTAATTGATAACGTAATAATGTTCATTGCAATATGTTTGATGTCAGTCGCTTAACTTGCGTGGTTGCAAAACCAAAGGTTACCTATCATTTCAGCTATATTTTTACTGCGTGATGTTTAAGTTAAAAAACGTTATACAGGAGAACATTCAAAGTTCACGCCTCTAATAATTAGAACAATATCTCCGTGAAATATAGGCAGGTAATTTTTCTGTTTAACATAGCTCAAAACTAAGGAGATTCCACCATTTTCCTGATAACGTAAAGGATGCAATCCGGTAGATTGCGTTACTGTGCGAACGGTGTACGGAGCGGTAATGTCGGTTGTAAATATTTGTTACTGTTTTAATAACAGATTTTGTGTAAAAATTGTGAAGGGTTCAGGTAGGACGAAATGTCATGCTACGTGTATAGTTAAAGTATGAAAGATGTAAATTATTTTAAATACTAGTGAATATATGTGTTGTGTGAGGGTGTGAAAGGATATGAATGAGGGAAAGAGAACTATCGATGGCTTCATTTTATTGTTCTTAATACTAGAAACAGGGCGAGTCTCGAAGTATTTAAAAAGCTGATGTTAAAGTTTATTGGAGAAAAATTTTAGTGTCAACATGGAACCTGATTTTTATTGATACTGTATTTCTTATTTCGAAGCTCAAATCCTGCTAGTCCTTGCTTTTGTTTACAGATGTATCTGGTACACCACTCATCCTAGCAGTTAACTTGCTATCTTTGTACCGGGTGTAACTGTGAATACGCAGCAGTGTTGCGGGATTGCATACTCCATATGGCCGCAGGGGCCATGGCCCCTTACGGGTGTAAAGAGTATGCAAACCCGCAACACTGCTGCATATTCACAGTTACACCCAGTACATGTTTGAATTTGCCTTAACACATTTCTTAACATGGCAGTCTTTCTCCTAAAATTCGAAAAAGCCAAATAACCTATGTTAGAACTTCGTTCCAACCAGAGCGCTCGGCTCCAAAAAATACTCTAGTCACTTTAGTATGTTGTGATTTGGTGTTAAAAGGTATCATCGGAAGTGCTGTTTTGACTGTCGGTTAGCCAAAATTTGCTGTAAAATGTGTGCCATAACGCATTGTGACATTTGTTTTTTACAGTCCTTTACTGATTGTCGATGTGTCACAACGCCGCTATAACATCAGTAGGCATGGAAAACATAATTTTAACAAACTGTTTGTCGAATAAAATTGATTTCTACGAAATTCTACTCATTTATTTCACCTTTCCTCCGTACTCAAAAGCAGCTGAAGATACTCCAAAAGCAGCTAGAGTCATAAAGTCCGTCATCCTGTTCTGTCAAAAGTTAAGAAAGATAAACTTAACATACTCCGCGCCCGTCTCCACAAATTGAAATCAGTTACAAATCAACCACGGCTTCTCAAAGACACTGGTAAAACAAAGGTAGGATATCCTACCTTAAAAAGGCACTAAAGCTCCAAAGGCATTAGTTTGTTTTTTCGAAATATTTCGTTCCCATGGACTAAAATTGGATTCTAAGACCTATTTTCATAATCTACGCAAAATTCCGCGTCGAGCGAGTCTACATGTGATGGGGTTCTGTTCAAAAATGGCATAAATTGCTAGAATTGTTTGTACTTTTTGCCTTGCTTTTCATTCACAGACTGCTTATCAGAACCCTATCACATGTAGGCTCGTTTGACGCGTTTTGCGAGGGATACGACAGTGTATCCCAAACTGTGATCGGTTTGCTCATTCAGAAAATATTTGGGAAAATCTGAAAATACACACTTTAGCACCCCGAAACGGGTTTAGCACCCCTGGAACGTAGGATATCGCACCTTTGTTTTACCAGTGGACAAAAAACATTCAAGTTCCCATTTTGCAGAATGCGCCTTCAAAAGGGTATAGACCGAAGGTTTAAGTATAGTTCGGACGCCTTCGTTCTTTCCGAAAAATGGTTTTCATGATCAAGATTTTTATGGTGTGAACCATGGAGAACATTACAGTTTAAAAAGTGGCGACTCACACAAATCAAAAGATGGGTTAGCGGCGAAACACACATCACGGCTGGGCTGATTCAGTTTGCTTCCCCCTGGTGCGGAGTAGCCACCAACTAAATCCAAATGATCATATGCGGAACTCTCACAAAACTACTCAAACAAAGGCACTGAATGAGTATTAGACGACCCAGGACCATGGTCCTCAGATCTGAAATGGACGCAGAAACATATGTTTCCATGTGCGGGGAAGTTCTCCGTTTAAGAGCTACTTTCGCTCCAATAACTTATACTATTGTCATGTGGCCATATGGACCCAATTCATACTCGAAAGTGAGCCGAATTCATATAGGGTAGGTGATTTTTTTCATCACCTTTAGTGTGAGGTTCACTTGAACTTTTTTTTTTACTTTATGATTGAGTTCGGTGTTAATCCATCGTGATATCGTCTCATCACTTTAAGCCCACATGTAGGGAATGGTATAGGAAGTGTATATTTTGACCTTACTAACCCTCATTTTTCTGAACAGGTTTGAGTACTCTCTCTACCTCCACTCCTCGCACGACCACTCCCTCTTTCGCTCTGGTCTTCTTTGGCCCTACCTTCACGCCCGCAGCAGGCGGGCCGTTCCGTTCGCCTCGCTCGCATAGAACCACGGCTGCTAACCACACTCGCGCATTCCCAAGCAGAACGGCCAGTCAATAAAAAGATGATAAACTCAATTTCGATCGCATTTTTTTCTTTTCCCCGCGTCCTGCCTTTCGGCGCGCGGCGCGGCCCGGCCGAGTGCGCGCTTTACAGAGCTCTCCCGAACGCGCCAGGCTCTGCCTCCTCTTTATATGTTTCTCCTTCGTCGTTTTTCTTTTCGTCCTTGCCATCACTTTTCTTTTTCGTCCACCATATCCATTTTCTTTCACCACCGTTCCTCTCCCCCTCCCCACAACCCCCTCTTTTTCTTAAGTGCCCCATTTTATGACATTGGCAGGTAGAAGAAAAGTCTATTTGTCACTATGCTCACATAGCAGCATCGTAAAATTATTGAATAATCGTCCTCAACTCCTGATAGTCAAAATATTTGTAAACTCCCACCGATAAAAGCGGTTTGACTGCTTTCATCTTTGACGGACCTACTTTGGCGAAGAAGCTTCCTCGGTCGACTCGAGTTGCACCATTCGGGAGACCGTAAAAGTAGGGTGGTCCAAACCCGCAACATGTTCGAAAAAGTTGGCGCTTGTGTTGGAAAAGTTTCGTTTCTACTCAAAAATGATGCCCAAATTTTTGTGAATTTTTTGGAAAAAATTTAGAGGTCGCGCGAGAGCCCCAAAGTTAACCCAGCATTCTTACGGGAATTTTGCCTAAAACTGAAATTTAGCCATGGACACCAAAGTTTATGTCCGAGAGCAAAACTAAGTCCATAGCCGTAATCTACGTTAAAAACCGAGTCAGTAGACGTGCCATAAGCCCTGTTTGGCCGTCTCATTCGAAAATAAAATTTGACAAATTTGGTTAAATTTAACAAATTTGACAATTTTCAAAATAAATATGAGATTGCCCAGCCAGGCGTACGGCACGTCTACTGACTCGGTTTTTAACGTAGATTACGGCTATGGATTCACTTTTGCTCTCGGACATAAAATTTGGCGTCCATGTCTAAATTTCAGTTTTTGGCAAAATACCCATAAGAATGCTAGGTTAACTTTGAGGCTCTCGCGCGACCTCTAAATTTTGTTCAAAAAATTCACAAAAATTTGGGCATCATTTTTGAGTAGAAACGAAACTTTTCCAACACAAGCGCCCACATTTTCGAACATGTTGCGGGTTTGGACCACCCTACCGTAAAAGCTCCTTGCGAACTCCGCGAAGGTCCAGACACGTCGCGGCCGGAAGCGCCACTCTGACTTTCTGGAGGCGTAATTTGCAGCAGGTCGGCAGGTGAAAATAAATGACTGACAGTCGTGAGAGCGCGGGCTCTGGGTTGGGCCTACCCCCTCCCCATGAGGCCTTGCGTAAGGAAGCAGTTCATCTTACTCCACGTTTACGTAACGGCTGAGCAAAGATGAGGTCCGAACACGCAAAGCAGCTCAAGAGCAGACTGTCCGACTGTCGAAAAGAATCTCACCCACGACCAAATCGTTGTTTTATTCCTAACGTTTTCGCTATATTGCACTAATTTCAGTGAATTCAACGCAATTGCTTTCCCTTTGCCAGTTTCCACGCAGTCCTGCATCATGGGGCAACGGGCAACGGAAGAGGAATCGTAATCCCGACAGCTTCCGCTGATATCTGTAAAATTCCGTATTGGGGAAAATATCGCACATTATAAATGATCGTGTGCGCTCCGCACTCAAAGCGCCATTCTGATCTCCCCACCTTTACAAGGAGGCGGGAAATATGAACTTGAGCGGTAAAAACAATGTCTGACCTTCCGAGGGAAATGGAAAATCTGCGAGCAACTCCCATACTAGCAAAAAGTCCCCAGATTTTGAGAAAATCTTCTCAAAAATCGAGGGAAATCCCCACATTGTTTGAGGAGGCTTACTCAAACAATGGGAGTTTCTCAAAGGTTTCCCTATCCCCTCAAAAGGACAGACATGGTTTTTACCGTAACCTTATTTGCCCGCGTATTCGGTCGTGCACGCTGCTGCAGCGCGGCCCGGCGGTCCCGCGTCACAGATTCATTAGCGATAGTTGAAATATCGCCGTAAATCTCTCCACGACGGTGAGATGGTCCACTGCGCCGCGCAAAGGCGGCGTCCGCGTCGACGCTGCGACTCCCTCTCCTCCATGGACGGGCAAGCTGATCGGGAGAGGCGCCGGGGAAAGAGCGGGAGAGAGGGCTGCGGCGGCGCTGTCGAACACAGCCCGGGAGGTGGGGGGCTGTCCGCAGGGAAGTTAGTTCCGTAAATCACCAGGTGAGCATCCAAGACCTTCACACACACATACACACGCCTTCAGAGAGTTGCACACACACGCAACTTTGCTTTTCCTCCCAAAAACTCGTGTGTGTATACCTTATCAAGTAGATGGTGTTTGGGGTCGCGTCAACCAAAGTGTCGGTGGGAACTCGCACTCGCATACATGACGTACGCTTCGCACTCAGTTTTGTACTTCCAATCAAAACAACAGCCACTGTTCGCACCAGTTCACTCACACACCTCTAACTTGGGGGAGGGGGCTTGTAGTTAAAGCCACAGCCATCCGAGTTTCGACGGAAGACCCCGTGCCGTGCCGGACTGTGCTGGCGGTAGTCATCAGTCAAGCAGTGGATGGATGGGTGATCTCGGGGCCCATGAGGCCCATGAGGCGGTTGATGCCGCCGCGCCCCGCCAAATATTGGTCGTGGCACGCATGGGCGGGGGCAGCAACAATTAACCATCGTGCAAGCAAAGCCGTATAGAGAGGCCTTCCCGCGCCGCGGCCGCCCCGCCCCGCCCGGCCCCGCCCGCCTGAACTTGTGCGGTGAGCAGCACCGACTCGAGGCCCGCCCAGTAAGTTGCGCCTCTCTCCCCCTTCTCCTTCCCCACCAGGCCACCGCACCTCAACCACCAGCCCTTTACAAGTTGGCTGCGCGCGCAACAGATCAGGAGTTAATCGTGTTTCAGTGGTGCCGTGCGGCTCAACGCGGCGCCTAACCGACCCTTGACCGGGTAAGGGGAAGGGGGTGACCTGTGCAACGTCATTTTCCCCATCTTCCCCGTCAGCGGTGAATTGACAAAAGGCGACAGAAGGCGCTTAAAAATCCCTCGAATACTGTGCATGGAGAGCGACACTCGGCCCTCCAACAACGTACTTATTACTAGTCTTATTCTTTCGATGCTCCAATCATCACTCTTTTTTATTTATTTTTTGTTATCTCGCTTGGGGAGACCATAGTGCTCTCGCGAGACCAGAACGACTGGTGCGAAGCTTGAATGGAGACGGGCGTCGTCAGTGGTGGCAGTCGTAGCGGTAACAGTCTTTGGATGGGGCGTGGTGTGGCGCGGGGGTGCTGGGAGGGGGGCGCGGGGCCCCGTGAAGGTGGTTTCTTGGAACAAGCGCGGTCATTAGTGCCCCAAAAGCGGCCCCCTCCACCGCCCCACTGCCCCCCTGGTGCTTGGCCTGGCGGGAACACACAGTAGTTGTCCCACCGCCACGCCCCGCCACCACGCAACGGCAGCAGCTCTGGCTCCCTTTAGCCCGTATAAACTCCCCCAAAACTCCCCAGTGGCAACCCGCGTCGGCCTGCGGGTGTCTGCCTCCGTCG